GGGACCCGCCGTGACCGGGAGCCGCTCGGAATTACATTCCAAGTAATTTTACTGTAATTCTTCTTTGTATCTTTGTTGTTTTCCTACTAATCCAAAATAATTTGGCAGTATCTAATGTTATCTGTGGAGGCAACTGAAATTTAGTTTTAATCTGTGGTGAGATGAAAGTCTGACATGGTTTTCTTAATCAAAGCACCATAAAGCATTTACTATTAGGAGCTTTACTTTATAAAAATAAAGGTACATGAAGGCTTGTACAATATCCATATTAGGTCAAAAGGTTTAGGAAGTCTCCTGTTTTTTTTAAAGGCGATAGCACTCAATTTATCTGCAAATAGTGTTTTTTAAAAGACACAGATTAAAACTAAGTGTAAACACAAATTGTTTCACTCTAGGCCCTGCAGCACAAACATGTTGTGAGGAAGTTAGTGTTAGTTAGGGTTGGATGGCATTTGTGCAGTGCAATAAGAACATTCTTAGGTGCTACATTGCCTTGGGTAGGGTGACACAAGGAAATACAGGCTACAAGTGGCTAGATTATTTTCTTGTGGCCTTCCAAGAATTAATTTGTACAGATTTGCTCACCAACTGTGCCTCACCATTGGTTAAAATTGAATTTTAAGCCCTATTACAAATGCAGTTTCTCTTCTGGACACAATGTCAGATTTTACACTGGAATATCTACAGTTCTAAAAACTGCATGTCACATCACTGTACACTGATCCTGGGACGTGGGGCTTGCCCACACCTTTGATATTCTTCTGTATTTTAATGTTTTTGAACTGTATAGTAATCTGGAAAGCAGGCTGTCTTACTTGGGATTGAACATTGTACCATAAATTTTAAATTATTTGAGGACAAGTGCATGAGACTGTGTCAATGCCTTTATTTATTTGTATGTTTTATTATTCAAGGTGTATGCACTTTTAATATGCAGAATTTATATTTTTATGTTAAAAATCATTTTCTTTCAGAAAGAAGAGTTTGAATATGAGGAATTGGGATTAAGTGGAAAAGGGGGAATATGTAATAAAAAATAATAAATTTATTACTAGGAGTCGTGGCCGCGTGCGCTCCTTGCAGCCCTGCCGCGTCCC